TCAATGAATTGATAAGGAGGTTGAAAACACAGTTGGAATCGATCATTCAGAAGCAGAGATGAAGGAAGCCGATGTTTACGAGCGCTGGATTATTCCAGCAAGGGTCAGAGCGGAGTATAAGATCGCGGACACCTTAAAGGCTCAACATGCTTACTTGACATCAATAAGGCAACAGTGTTAACACGGGAAGCAGAAATAGTACTCTCTTCGTCTTTGTCACCACCGTCTAGCTGATACCTATTGGACAGCAATCGTGTAGCACAGATGCCAGACGACTCGGCTTCTCGACAAATTCTTGAGCGCGGGGGAAGCCGGCAAATTAGCACCCTAACTGCAGTAAAGAGCGCCCAAGGGACGTGCACAGGACAACCACTATTTACAAGGACCTGACCAACGTCTTCAGAACTGTCGCCAGCGTGCTCTACCCATAAAACCATTGTCGAGACAGCAACAACTCAATTTTACGTGCTAATGAAAGAGATTCCTACGATGGAACCGCGGAATCCTTTTGGAAATCCCAAACGCGAACCACCAGGTTTAGAGGGTGAGTGCTCACCGAAGACTACAGATTCGGGTGTTACGATGTCCTCACCGCGGTGCGTGCAAATTCCTGACGGAAGCAAAACAAGACCAGTTCATGAAGCGAAAATAATTAGAAGGAAGACCACGAGGATGCAGAAGCAAGTCCCTTGTACTGCTCATAAGTTCTCTTCTCTTCATAAGCTGCACACGTCAAGGTCGAAGGCAATGGGGATGGTAGATCTTATTTCATCGAAAAATGCTGATCTAGAAAATCACAGCCGCGAATGAGAGACCGGGCTGAGACACAAGAAGAAGGCTGATGCTTTCAAGATGAAGAAAACGAAGAAGTGAGTGAGTGAAAACTTTATTGACATTGTCCGCTGGTATTTAGCGGGGTGGGGCTACAAGCACCCCAGCCTAGGTGATGGCCTCGAGTCTTTGGACACGGGTGGCTTCCTGGGCGTGCCGGACTGTCAGCAGTTGATCGGCGAGGTCGCCGCTGAGCATAGTCGCCTCCCATCGCGCCTCGCGGTTCGAGACTAAGAAAATAAAATAAAAAAGACTGTCCAAAACGAGCCTCAGTATATAGAACATCGTGGAAGTGTCAGCACCATCGACGTTCATGCGAATGAGAACTGCTCATCGACAACACAAGTCCGCCAAGGGGAACACGTTCAAAGGCACGGCTGTGGAACAAGCGTTGCAAACATCGCTGAAAAGCCGGACACAGGAAGAAATACGGATGATCCCACCAGGACTGACATGGAAGGAATACTGATGAACATAGTGTGCTCAGAACTCGTGTGTGCATTTTATTTTTTTTCGGCGTGAGCTGTCACTCTGTAGGTGTGGAGCATGTAGAAAATTATGTGGACGACGAGAAGTTGGGGTATCATCATCATGAGGGGATCAGTGTTAGAACAAAAAGGGGGTCATCGTGGGGCTTCGTTATGGGCACGGAAGTTCATCCTTTTCTCGACAGTGCTTGCCCTTTGGTGTGTCTTTCTTCGTCTGTTCCTGTAATGAGGCACTAAAGGGAAGCAACAAATTAGTTAGCCTGATAAACTATGCTCTCTAAGCTATAGTGTCGTTAGTTTAGTCGCCTCGTGTTTTATTAACAGTTGAGAAAATCAATGTCATAAGTCTCACTTTTAAGTTTTGCGCCGATGATCTCCGTTCTTGACGCCTCGGATTTCATTCGAAAGCGTTCTTTTCGTATTTTGTGAACGAAATTTCTTGAAACTCGGGAGTGTTAAATGTCTGGCTCACGCAAAAGACTATGTGCTTCATATTGACCGATTAGTAACTATACGTGTACATCAATATAAGCCGGCGAAATTCATGACGTCACTGTGACTGGTGCGTAAACATGAAAGTGGCCCGCATTTTATTTTTGCGCATTTTGACGCTCTCCAAGCGTGGTCTCGCAGCGAGCGTGGCGTTTTAGTTGTCATGAAAGAGTAATCGACAGACTCGAAGAAAATCGTTGTTCTCTTTAGTGCCAGCCCCTTTAAGTTCGCTCTGCCATCACTTTTTCTCATAATATCACCTTGCGTGGACACTGCAGTAAGGGTCTTGCAACTGCTCGTATACGCACGCACTAGGATCGCTAGGGCCACTCACGCATCCTTACCGAAAAAAAAAAAAAAGGTGCGCGTGCGTGGGCGACGTTATTTCGGGTTCTGCTCCAGAACTGTGCGTACACATATACCGCGGCAGCGGCGCTCTATCTCCCAGGGCGCCCATAAACGACTGGAGCAGCGGAAAAGCTTCCGTCGGTTGGGGTCGTCTTCGTGTACCGCATATGCACGCAATCCCACCACACCGCGTCGTCGTCGTCGCGAACGTAAACGAGCAGCCAGCGTACGCGGTAAATGTCTGCCTAGTGGGCTGTTTTGCTATATGCGGGGAGTGCGGAGGTCCCTCGCCTTGTTTTCGCTCTTCGTGTCGGCAGCGATTTCGCTCTCTCGAGTGATGTAGCCAAGCCGCTGCGGCGTGTTAGAGCCGGCTGTCGTGATAGCGTGCGCTTAATTGGCTGTTGGAGGCGAAGGGAACCGATGTTTTGCATTATGATACAAACGAACCTCCCGCTCCCTCTTTTTCTCTCTCTGTACGACGACGTTGAAAAAGCAGTCGCCACAATTGTTTCCTAGTTGCACGAAGTACCCAGGGGCACTTTTGTTTTCACTGCTAGCACTTCCGGCCGAGGACTTGCTTCCTTCTTAACGAATATTCGAAAAATATTTATATGCGCTAGTACTAAATTGATATTCCGTTTCGAGTTCAGAGTTCTATTAGAAACATGACGTCGGAGCATAAATTTACTAAAGATAAAGGTCGATAATAAAAATACAATTAAATGAGTTCACTGAAAGAGCAGACGTTTTTCTTGTGGTATAGTGAACTAGAATATTATAGTTCACTATACTTGTGGGTAGCTGAGATAGTTGCGGCACCTGGCGGAGCAGATTTCAACCACGCGCTTGTGTACATGGCTTCCGAGATGGCGGAAGCGCGGTATGTTTCTCGAGGGAAAAAAAAAAAAAACGCCACGCACCTGCCATCTCGCAGGCCATGTTCTGTATATGTGGCCTTTTAGACTCGCTTCGGCGGCGCAAAGAAGATAAATGTCGACGCAGGAAATGTTTTCGTTCTTTTAGACGCACGAACGCCGTCGTCTTATTAGAGAGTTTCAGTACTGCGTACGCTGCGTACGTGGCGGCGTTGCGTACGTAAGGACGCCACGTTCTGCGTAGTGCGCATGCGCAGACCGCAACGCGCACGTATCGCGTTACGTACGCAGCCGCTACGTACGCACGCATGAGATGCGTGCGTGCGTTCGTATGAGGTGATCGCGCCGCTCTCGAACAAGTTCGCGACAGCGGAAGACTTCGTTTTGCAAAATGGCGGCATCGAAGGCAAGCACCGACCGGCTCTGTGGCTTAAAATATGGCCATAATCTGGCTATAACACTTGGATTGGCTCACATTGGCTGTCAACAACACGTGCTTCTATTTTGATCTACCAGATGGCGCAACACGCTTCACGCTCGTTACGTACGTGGGTACTACGGCATACTAAAAGCCGATTAGTGGCAAACGACGCCACGTAACGCAAGGCGCTTGCGTGATGCGTACGTAGCACCATTCCGCAGTACTAAAACTCTCTATTAACATGGCCAGATACCTACGTTTAATACAAGGGACGCCTTCATTTTTTTTTTTCGTTGTTATCACCAAGGTACAGTAATCCCGGTTGTTTTCGACCTTGCGTCTGTTTCGAAGAAAACTGGCCGTTGCACAAGTTGTTATTGAAACATGCTCGTGTTTCTGCACAATCTTCGCCTGCTGACCCTACGTTGTTTCTCAAAGGACTTGTTTCACGCGCAAAGCATGAAACATTTCTACATTTCCAGTGGTCTGAAAAGAGAAGGAAGAGGAGGAATGCGAAGATGGAAAATAACTTAACTATAGACAGATGCAGTTGCATTGTCATCATGGAAAATTTACATCGGTGCAGTCGACTGGATTTCGTTAAAGAAGTGCACCAATACCCAACTCTCCAGTTCAGAACAGAAGGACAACGAACAGGACAACGCTACAACAAAGATGCCAGAAGTCGACCACATGTCTGTCATACCAAATATAAAAGTATTGTGCTCGAAAGCTGCATTCGCTGATCTCCACGTAGTACAATGTCTTCGTTTAGAAGAGAAAAAAATCATCGTAAGTGTATAGTTCCATGGGGCTACAGCGCGTGCAGGAGCCGCAACCAATGAGCTTCCATAAGTTAAGCGCTCAAAGTACGAGGAAGCTGACTTCACCTAAAGCGCTAGGGGACGCGACAAAGAGATTCATGAACATGCCGAGAAACATCGGCATAAAAATAATCAGCGCACCGATATCTTGGTTTACTGTTTGCGTCTTGTGTCTGTCTCTGTGTGTGTTGCGTGTGCCTGCTGTATATCTTCGTGCCGATGCGATTTCCACTAACATGTTACATCGATTGTCGTCTTTCCGCCTAGATGGCTGAGTTGGTTACGGTGTCTGCCTGCTGACGTGTAAGTCGCGGATTCCATCCCGTCCCCGGTGATCGCATTTAGATGGAGACGGAAGGCTACAGACCCATGCTCTGTGCGATGTCAATGCACGTTAAAGAATGCCAGGTGGTATAGTAAGTTTCCGAGCCGTCCACCGAGACGTTGCGCACAATCACATCGTGGTTCTGGCACGTAAAACTTCGGATGTTCTCATTTCACTAATATTGCCACGCTTTCGCGAACTATATACAGATGACGGCTGAAAGCAGGCGTGACACGCCCTGTCTGTTCCGCGTGTTTCTTGTCGTACCGCGTATAGCATCACTACGCTGCTGTGACCTAGTGCGGTTAACGACCAAGTAATCCTTGCCGATTTTCAGCTCTGCTTCCCCTCGAACGAACGGACAAACCCCCGACGCATCGTTCTACACTTTTGCAGGAGAACAACGACGCCGTGTGCGAGGAGCTCCGGCAGCTCGGCTACGAGGCTCACGCCTTCCAGTGTGACGTCACCTCTGAGCAGCAGGTGGAGGCCGTGGGCGAGCAGGTTCTCAAGACGGTCGGACCCGTCGACGTGCTCGTCAACAACGCCGGCATCGCCATGTGCAAGGGCCTGCTCACGCTCAAGCACAGCGACATCCGCCGGACGTTCGACGTCAACACGCTCTCGCAGTTCTGGGTGAGATCACTATCCGTCCGTCTATTCAACAGTATATGAGTCAGGGTTGTTGTTGTTGTTGTTGTTGTTGTTGTTGTTGTTGTTGTTGTTGTTGTTGATGATGTTGTTGATGACGATGATGATGATGTCGTCGTCGTCATCATCGTCGTTGTTGTTGATTGTTGTTGTTGTTTTTGTTCTTGTTGTTGACGCTTCTGTAACTACTCAACAAGTAAGCATTTTTCCGTCCGTCCCTCCGTCGCGCGAGGGGATTCCCTGGGAAAGAGTAAATTTTCTGGCCGGTGCTGGGTTTGGAGCGTAGGAGCCTGCGGCCAGAAGCCAAGCGTTCAATTACCACTTTTCTAAACACACAGCCTTCTAGACGCCTGATATATCGGAGCACATATGGATGCACTGTGCCGGCTTTCTAAAACGAATATAAAGGAACAACCCATCAAGAACTTGAAATATTTGTGTTATACTAGATGTCTATAGGCGGTCTCTGGCGTCTCCTCTTCTTAACACATTCGTTGCGTTCGCAGTCTGCACGGCTTGAGCGCAGTTTTCTCTCCCTCCCTTGCAGATGGTCAAGTACTTTTTGCCATCCATGAAGGACAGAGGAAGCGGCCACATTGTGTGCATCGCATCCGTGGCTGGCCTCCTGGGATCGCCCTTCATGACTGACTACTGGTGCGTTACAGTGTAGTAGAATTGGTGCGTGTTTAACCCCTGATCGCAGCGCCACCTTTACTCGCTAATGTCGAACGCGTCAGTTTCTCATCTAGTGGGAATCTACGCTGAGAAGTATAGTAACAAGACTAGACGGCGCGTTTCCTCGAGTGTACAGCGACGCGCCAGACGACATCCCGCTGTCTGTCTTTGTTCTCGACCAAGTGGATAGGTGGCTCCAATCCTCTCGCTGTGTGCAACCAATGAGCTCAGGCAAGCACAGTGCTGAGCGATAGGTATAAGGAAGCGCTTTTTCATTCCTCTTGAGAATAACTGATGCTGCCCTGCTAACGACATCGCTGTGACGGCATCTCCGACTTTTTTCGTCGCTTCTTCCTTCGAGCGAGCTAATTAGGACTAATTAGGTATGTCGACAGGAAAGAGCATCGCTTTTTTATGACTTCAAGCTGCACATAATTGAAACAATAGGAAACAGCCGCTTCAAAGCGGGCTGACTTAGGTGCTTCCGAAAACCAGAGCAGCACGCCAGATGAAAATTAGCGCACGCTATACGAACGCACGCAGCGTCGCTCGAACGTATAATTTAATTACTCTGCTGCAAAACTATAGACACGCTCCGCGATCGTTAAAAGTTAGAAGCCCGGTGCTGGTAAACTCTTTTGGTTTATACAGTGTTCGCACACCTGCAGCGCTGTTCGAAACGCGCTTCGTGACAAAATCAAATCAATCAGCCGGCGCCGAGTCTGGTTTCAAAGTTTCGTTCACCACACGCGCGATGTTCAACGTAAAACTCGATTCCCTGTTCTTTTTTTTGTTTTCGTTTAAGCTTTTATTCGCGGTAGCTTGCTCATCGCCTTCAGCTACTCGAAAACGCGGCACACTCTGTGGACGCTGTATTTGTCGATTGACAAAACTCGCTGACATGTTTTGATAGGGCTGTGCACTCAGAAGTCGGATCGACTAGCCGCGACCTCGCAGTGTATAATAATAATAATAATAATAATAATAATAATAATAATAATAATAATAATAATACACCGAGATATGATTATTGGGGATGCCATAGTGCATGGTTCCCATGGTTCTGCGAAGTTTGCCCACCTCGTGTTCTTTAACCTGCACTGTCATTGCAAAGTACCCAAACTCTCTCTCTCTCTCTCTCTCTCTCTCTCTCTCTCTATATATATATATATATATATATATATATATATATATATATATATATATATATATATATATATAGAGAGAGAGAGAGAGAGAGAGAGAGAGAGAGAGAGAGAGAGAGACAGACAGACAGACAGACAGACAGACGGACGGACGGACGGACGGACGGACGGACGGACGGACGGACGGACGGACCGACCGACCGACCGACCGACCGACCGACCGAGGTGCAGCCTCGCAAATTGTTTTGCTAGCCTTTGCTGCATACGGTGCTTTTCAAAGCGGGCCTGCGGGCTGTTTTAGCGCCTGACCACATCCGTCACCGCTACCTCGGACGAAATAGAGAAGCCTAATGTGCGCTTTCAGGAACGGGTACTAAGTGAGAACTCTTGCGTATCGATCACTATATGGTGTTTCGTAAGAGCAAACATCTATGCAGATGTCCATCTGAAATTTTGTGATTTTCCTTTTCTCTTTGCGTCATTCCGCTTAATACTTCCGAGATTCAAGTTTGGGCGTGACTTTCTTTTAATACGAAAGCGTTTTATGCCGGCGCGGCTTTGCTGACGTATTTACGTCACGAGAATGACGTTGTAAAATAAGTACTAACAAGTGGCAAAGAAATAAATGAGAAGGAAAGGTTCTGTCGCGGGGCGTCGAACCAGCAACCTCTTGGTCTGCAGCGCGCGGCGCTAGTCACTAAGCTACGAAGCGCACGCTGTAAAGTCTGTTAACGGCAAGCAATTTGTTTGGCAGTCCTCAGAGCTTGTGAACATCAGTGCGTTTTCGTCATCGTTAGCGAGATGGCGCGACCAGCTCGCGTTGGGTAGAGTTACTGTATATGCTAACTTTATGTAGCAGAGTTGCGCCACTGTTTTCCGGGCGCCGCTCGCTCCGCCTACTGGAGTTTCAGCGCCCCTATTCGCCGAGCGCCATCACGTGGTCATAGGTGGTTCATTTGCACTGCGGAGAAGCCAACGCTACGCAGATTCGGGGTAGATCAAGTGGAGTCGACGTCGGCTGTTGTTTCACATCAGCTGTCGTGAGCCGCGATTGTAATACGAGCGCAATAGAGAGCCGTGCGTAATATGGGCGTCGCACGGGCACTCTTGATCGTTGTTCAGCTCGATTCAGTCGAAGGCGATACAAAAACACCTAGCTCCCTCACACAGTTAAAGAATGAGTCACAATGACAAAAAAATTTCATCCCCAACTTGTTCGATTGCCTTCAAAAGTGCAAAAATAATTTCGTATTTGTAAATGGGAGAAACAGCGGAAAAGGCGAAGCTAGTGTAACCAACCATAAATATGTATCTCACTGGTTCAACGAGCTACGCACATTGTTTTATTATTACATACCAAGAACGTAAGCATCAAATCAAGGCTTCTAGGTGTGACCGGAGCAACCGAGTTTCACTCATACATTTAAAAAAATTTAAAGAAAGCGAAAAAAATAAATAACGCAACGCTAGTACCATAATCCCTCAATATTGAGAGACTATGTGACACTTCGAAGCGTGAGCGTTGCTCCTACGCGGGTGGTGAGTGGCTTTCCCGCAAGACATTTGAACCCAAGATGGCGTGCCTTGGCGCAACTCTGCTACCTAAATGTTGATGATGATGATGAGTAGTTTTTAGTGGCGCAAGGGCCAATTGATGGCCAAAGAGCGCCATTTCAATTGACTACAGATATGAACAATGATATGGTGCGTGGCTGTAAAGGGGCCTTAAAATTCCTCGCTCTAACGCGGGCTAAAACATGAAAGTAATAAAATCATGACAGTGGCGTGACATATGTGTGGTGATAGCTGATGGCAAAATGTCATGACAATAAAACCATGATGAAGATATAGTCACCGCAGCCACGACCACTCCATGGAGGTCAGGCTACGGATGACCTCGAAATATCGGGTGAAAGCTTTGCACTTCCTTTAAAAATGTAAAAAGTGTTTGTAGTTTAAAAAGCGGATCCCTACCGATGAGCATCCCAGGGTGTAGAGGGAGCTGCTGTCGGTAGGGCAGTAAAAAGTGCTTTTTTCTTACAGCATCTAGCTCATTGCACTGGACGAGAATGTGGAGAACCGTAAGGGGCTCTCCACATCTCTCACAATATGGTGGATCACCGGTAGACAGAAGAAATGAATGTGTAGAATGTGTGTGTCCAGTCCTAAGCCTTGTTAGTATTACTTCCGTGTGTCGTGATTTTGATAGTGGCGGCCAATAACCTAGTTGCGGCTTAATAGCATGGAGTTTATTATCTGTTTGTTTATCCCACATGCTCTGCCAATACTCCCTGAGCTTTCGTTTTATAAAAGGTTTTAAGTCAAGTGCAGGGACTGGTGTTGGTGCATTGGCAGTAGTGACATTGGCGCAAGCAGCCAGATTGTCGGCCAAAACGTTCCCTTGTATTTCACGGTGCCCTGGAACCCAGCAGACAACGACATGCTGTTTTGATGCGTAGAGTGTGCACAGAAGTGAGTAGAGTGACACCAGCACGGGGTTCTTGTGTTTTTTAGGAGTTTTCAGGGCTTTGACCACGCTTAGGGAATCTGTGTATATTACCGCCTTTTGTAATTTTATCTGTTTAATGTGTTTTACGACCGCCAGTATTGCGTAAGCTTCTCCTGTGAAAATGCTTGCATTAGGATGAAGAACGCCGGCCTCAGAAAAGGATTGGCCTATTGCTGCATATGACACAGAAGTGTTTGACTTTGACGCATCAGTAAAGAACTCAGGGCATGTGTATTTATGTTGTAGTTCTAAAAAGTATGTATGTATGTGTGCAAGTGGTGCGTGCTTTGTGACATCAACAAAAGAAACATCACAGTCTATAAGCTGCCACTGCCACGGTGGCAGATATGTTGCAGGAGCCATCAAACTGGGTTCAAGAAGAGGCACATCTGTTCCTTCGGCCAAGCTCCTTACACGCAGCGCGTAGGGCTGCCTAAACGAAGGTCGGTTCTCGAACAAGCTAGAACAAGACAAATCATTAATTGTGAAATGGGAAGGATGTTTCTTGTCTGCCTTCACCTTCAAAAAGTACAAAAATGACAGGGAACATCTTTGTAGGTGGAGCGACCATTCATTCGAATCCACGTACAGGCTCTCCACAGGGCTGGTGCGGAAAGCACCCGTAGAGAGGCGAATGCCTAGATGGTGGACAGGGTCGAGAATTTTCAAGGCTGATGGTGTTGCCGACTGGTAGACTATAGCACCGTAATCTAGGCGTGTGCGTACGAGGCTTTTATATAAGTTAATTAAACATTTCCTGTCACTTCCCCATGTAGTGTGTGACAACACTTTCAAAATGTTCATTGTTTTTAAGCACCTGTCCCTTAAATACTTGATGTGTGGGATGAAAGTTAGCTTAGTGTCTAATATGAGACCGAGAAACTTGTGCTCGGTCTTCACAGACAGAGGTTGACCATGCAGGTCAATGTCGGGGTCAGGATGGAGGCCCCTCTTTCGGCTGAACAAGACACAAGTGCTCTTTTGCGCGTTGAGTATAAAACCATTCTCGTTTGCCCATTGAGATACCTTGTTCAACCCTAGTTGAACTTGACGTTGGCACATTGAGATGTTGCAAGATTTGTAACCAATCTGCACATCATCGACATATATGCAGTAAAAAATATTTCGTGGGAGAGACAGGTGCAAGGAATTCATTTTAACTATGAAAAGTGTACAGCTCAATACACCTCCTTGTGGCACTCCTGTTTCTTGGACAAATACTCGAGATAAGACAGTGCCAACTTGGACACGGAATGTACGGTTGGACAGGTAGCTTTCGATAACTGTCAGCATTCTACCCCGCACACCTAAATGTGACAGGTCTC